TGAAGACACAGAGAGAAGGTAGCATCTGTGAAAAAGCAGGTCCTCACCGGACACTAAATCTGTTGGTACCTTGGTCTTGGACTTCTCAGCCTGTAGAACTGTGAGACATAAATCTCTGTTGTTTATAAGCCACCCTGTTTGTGGTATTTTTTAATAACAGCCTGAACAGACTAAGATATCACCCTATTCTGCTGCTCACATGATATTCCAGGCATGGAAGATTTTTCCATGGCCATGTGTGTATATTTTGTTTTCTTTTTAGACTTAGAAACTTATTTATAAAAGTATGATGATCAAGTAGCATGAATGTGAAGTTCTTTGCTTCCTGGCCCTTAAAACATACATTTTTGTACAGGTTTCTTTAACTTAATTATAAAACAAAACACAGAGTGAAAAAATGAATGATAGATTCCTCACTCTCTGGGGGCTAAAAGAATCCTGTGGGGCAGAGGAGCAGCTCCCTGGGGTCTTCTCTGCCTTTGCTGGATCTCTATTTCATGGTGAAGGTAACTTGTGGTGACATGACAACTATAAAGCCTGGGGCTTCCTGACTTGGCATTTAAGGAAATATTAACTGATAAATTCCACTTCTAGAAATTGATCTTAAAAAAATAATGATAGAGATGCAACATGATCTATTTATAAAGATGTTCATTGCAGTGTTGTTTATGATAAAAAGTGGAGACTTCTTAAGTACTTAATAACAGAAGATTAGTTAAGAAAAGAGTGGTAAGTCCATATGTTGAAAAATGTAATTGACATGGAAAGATGTTCAAGATGTGGTGAAATAAAAAGTAGACTGCTGCCAGATGTGGTGGCTCATGCCTGTAATCCCAGCACTTTGGGAGGCTGAGGCAGGTGGATCACAAGGTTAGGAGTTTGAGACCGGTCTGGCCAATATGGTGAAACCCTGTCTCTACTAAAAAATACAAAGATTAGCTGGACATGGTGGCATGCACCTATAGTCCCAGCTACTTGGGAGGCTGAGGCAGGAGAATTGCTGGAATGTGGGAGGCAGAGGTTGCAGTGAGTCGAAATTGCACCACTGCACTCTAGGCTGGTCGACAGGGAGAGATTTCATCTCCAAAGCAACAACAACAACAACAAAAAGAGGACTGCAAAACAGTAGGCACAGTAGGATCCTGTTTTGTTAAACGGGACATATGTCTGTGTTAGCTGTGTACACATAAGAAATGACTAGAAGGTATATAGAGTAGGTCCCTGTGGGTGATGAGGTTACAAGTAATTTGGATTTTCTTCTTTTTGGTTCTCTATATGCTCTGCAAATAACTAGTGGCAGTTATCACTAGTACCTGTTAAGTGCTCATTATGTCTCCCCAAATTCACATGCCAGGGTTCAGGATATGACTATTTGGAGATAGGAATTTTAAAGAGGTAATTGAGTTAAAATAAGGTCATATGGGTGGGCTTTGTCTGATATGACTGGTGTCCTTATGAAAGGAGGAAACTTGGACACAGACATATATAAAGGGAAGACCACCTGAAGACGTAGAGAGAAGAGAGCCATCTACAAGCCAATAAGAGAGGCCTTAGAAGAAATGGACTCCGCTGATATCTTGATCCTAAACTTGTAGCCCCTGAAACTGTGAGAAAGCAAATTTTTGTTGTTTAAGCCACCTAGTCTCTAGTATGTTGTTACAGTTACCCTAACAACCTAATGTAGTACCCCAACTCCAACAATCTTTATGCCTTCCTCCTCTTTAATGAAACTCCAATTTGGTTTAGGTGTCCACCTTTCTCCATGAGAAATAGACTCAATCTCTATCACCCATGCCAATGATGATAGGCCCCTTCCTTTGACAGATATTGACTTAAACATGCACATGTGACTCAGTTATGGGTAATCAGATATGAAAAATCTTGAGCATTTCTAGGTTTTCTTAGAGGATGAGACATACCCTAAGGCATAGTCCCTTGTTTGGTTTATATTTTTGCTGGGTATTGTCATATCTGTATAAGATGCCTAGAAGTGTGGCAGCACCTTGAGATCATGAGAGAAGCTGGCCTGGTCTCATGATCAGAGGGCTACCTTGCCTTGCAGAGGTACAGAAAGCAGAAAAATAGAATGAATCTGGATTTATGATGTCTTTGAATCCCCAAATAAATCGCCCCCATTGAGTCAAACACCTCCAGAATAGTTTCATGAGATAATACAGTTTCTTTATTTTTCAGTCAGTTTAAGTTTGGTTTTTTCCTTGCTTGCAGCCCAAAGCATTTGAATTGGTACAATTGAAATCCAAAACAAAATACACAAGAGCAAAATACGTTCTATAAACATTCAGATACTTCTAGGCCTCTACCTAAAAGCATGGACTCCACATCTAACAAACTGATCCAGCATGAAATAGCCTTTTTTGGCTAAAGCATAGATCCTAGTTAAATAGGTTCTTTGGCTGAGCATAGGTCCTTCTTTGGCTAAATCATAGGTCCAATATGCATTCTGTTCAGAATATTGACAACCATAGGATACACATTGGAATGCCCCCACACTCCAGTTCCCATGTCACTGAGTTCTACTCAGTGAGTACAAGTGCCCAAGGGCCATGTGGCATAACAACTTCAGGGATTATTTAATTGGAGCAGCTGCCTCATCTCAGCCATTGAACATTTGAATTCCTGTGGAATACACAACCCAGGACCCTGTTCTGGTGGGAAGCTGTGGGACTACTAAGCATGTGAAATTAAGCCCTGCAAGACCACATATAGGTAAATAGGCTAGGTAGAGGGGTAGACACAGGATTTGCTTCCATTGGGGTTAGGGAGGAAAGGACCAGAAAGTCAGGATTGTTCCCTAGTTCTATTTTTTCTTTTTAAGATGGAGTTTTGCTCTGTTGCCCAGGCTGGGGTGCAGTGGTGCAATAATATGTAAGAGATATATAATATGTAAGAGATTTTACAAAATCTCCTAGGAATTTTATTAACTGCAAATAAAAGAGAATGGGCCTATAATGAGTCCACTTACAAAACAAAAGATGTTGGTAATTAAACATACGTATGTGTTATGTATTATCGGTGCTACTTCTGAGGAGGGAAGTAGGAGAGGAAGGATAATAGGAACTTGCATATTTACTCTGTAGTGTTAAGAGCCAGGATGTTTATAACAGTGTTTTCATGTGTTGCCTGAATAAAGGCACCCCTCATTTTAGTGCACTTCAGTTTATTGAGCTTTACAAATGAAAGGTTTGTGGTAACCCTGCTTTGAGCAAGTTTGTTGGTGTCATTTTTCCAACAGCATGTGCACAATTCGTGTTTCTGTGTCACACTTTGGTCGTTCTTACAATATTTCAAGCTTTTTCATTATGACTTTATCTGTTATGGTGATGTGTATTTAGCAATTTTTGATGTCACCATTGTACATGTTTTGGGGCATCATGAACTACTCCCATATAAGATGGCAAGCTTAATTGGTAAAGTAAGTTTGACTGGCTGTTCTCCTATCTTTCTCCATCTTCTCTGGCATCTCTGTTCCCTGAAATTAGGTCTACTAATAACCCCACAGTGGCCTTTTAGTGTTCAAGTGAAAGCAAGAGTCGCACATCTCTTACTTCAAATCAGAAGCTAGAAATGATTAAATTGAGTGAGGCAGGCATGTTGAAAGCCAACACAGGCCAAAAGCTAGGCCTCTTGCACTAGTTCTCTAAGTTGTGAATGCAAAGGAAAAGTTCTTGGAGGAAATTAATAGTGTTACTCTGGTAAGCGTACGAATAATAAGAAAGCGAAACAGCCTTATCACTGATACGGAGGGAGTTTGAGTGGCCTGGATAGAAGATCAAACCAGCCACAACATTCCCTTAAACCAAAGCCTAATCCAGAGCAAGGCCCTAAGTCTCTTCAACTCTGTGAAGGCTGAGAGAGGTAAGGAAGCTGCAGAAGAAAAGTCAGACACCACGGAAGTTGATTTATGAGGTTTAAGAAAAGAAGCTCTTTCTACAACAAGAAAGTGCAAGGTGAAAGAGCAAGTGATGAAGAAGCTGCAGCAAGTTTTCTAGAAGATCTAGCGAAGATCGTTTATGAAGTTGCTATACCTAACAATAGATTTTCAGTGTAGACAAAACAGCCTTCCATTGGAAGAAGATGCCACCTCAAACTTTCATAGCTAGAGAATAGAAGTCAATGCCTGGCTTCAAAGCTTCAAAGGACAGGCTGACTCTCTTATTAGGGGCTAAGTCAGTTGGTGACTTTCAGTTGAAGCCAATGCTTATTTACCTTTCTAAAAACCCTAGAGTTCTTAAGAATTATGCTAAATCTACTCTGCCTGTGCTCTACAAATGGAAAAACAAAACCTGGATGAAGGCACATCTGTTTATAGCATGGTTTACTGAATATTTTAAGCCCACTCTTGAGACCTGTTGCTTAGAAAAAAATATTTCTTTCAAAATATTACCATTCGTTCACAAAGCATCTGGTTACCTATGAGCTGTGATGAAGATATACAAAGGGATTAATGTTCTTCTGCCTGCTAACACAACATCCGTTTTGCAGCCCATGGATGCAGGAGTAATTTTGACTTTCAAACCTTATTATTTGTAGAAATCTATTCCATGGCTATAAGCCTATAGCTGCCATAGATAGTAATTTTTCTGATGGATCTGGACAAAATAAATGGAAAACCTTCTGAAAAGGATTCTAGATGTCATTAAGAACATTTATGATTTATGGGAGGAGATCAAAATAGAAACATGAACAAGAATTTGAAAGAAGTTGACTCCAACCCTCATGAATGACATTGAGGGGTTTAAGACTTTCATGGAGGAAGTCATTGCAGATGTGGTAGAAGTAGCAAGAGAACTAGAATTATAAGTGGAGCCTGAAGGTCTGACGAATTGTCACAATCTTATGATAAAACTTGATTGGTTTAGGAGTTGCTTCTTATGGATGAGCAAAGAAAGTGGTTTCTTGAGATGCAATCTATTCCTGGCAATGATACTGTGAACATTGTTGCAATGACAACAAAGGATTTAGAATATTACAAAAATGTATTTGAGCGCCTAGCTGGATTCCAGCCATTGCTGCAGCTGCTCCACAGCCCTTTTTAGGACCCAAACAACCGCAGCTCCTGTTCCCAGGATGGTGATCCGTGTATATATCGCATCTTCCTCTGGCTCTACGGCGATTAAGAAGAAACAGCAGGATGTGCTTGGTTTCCTAGAAGCCAACAAAATAGAATTTGAAGAAAAAGATATTGCAGCCAATGAAGAGAATCGGAAGTGGATGAGAGAAAATGTACCTGAAAATAGTCGACCAGCCATAGGATACCCCCTGCCACCTCAGATTTTCAATGAAAGCCAGTATCGAGGGGACTATGATGCCTTCTTTGAAGCCAGAGAAAATAACGCAGTGTATGCCTTCTTAGGCCTGACAGCCCCACCTGGTTCAAAGGAAGCAGAAGTGCAAGCAAAGCAGCAAGCATGAACCTTAAGCACTGTGCTTTAAGCATCCTGATAAATGAGTCTCCACTGCTTTTATAAAATAGCGGAATTAGCTTTGCTTCAAAATAAATAGGCTTAATGTTGAAATAATAGATTAGTTGGTGTTTTTACATGCAAACATTCAAAATGAATACAAAATTAAAATTTGAGCATTATGGTGAGGAGAATGGGATATTAACATAAAATTATATTAATAAGTAGACATCATAGACATAGTGTTGTTACCTGCCAAAACATCCTGCGTACAGCAATGATATTTACAGAGAAAACACCCTTCCCTCCTTTTTTGCCATTTTTATGGCAGCTTAAGTGTATCTCTGGCTCTATGTTAAAAGGCGGGGAGGGGAGAGAAAAATAACCTGTCTCTTACTCCTAAGTTGCCTCATTAATTTTAATGAACAAGAATATGTACCTTTTTGATGCTATATTATTGTGATTAAATAGTACTTGCAGGTAATGTTTATGATATGTTAAACATTGTAATTTCCTATGGTAATTATAACATTCCCATTCTTTTGTAGATGAAACTTTTACTTATTGAACCACAGATTTTCCAAGCTTCTAAATGTAGCCTTTATTGCATATTGCAGTGATCAGAATAGATATCTTTCTACACATAAAAAACAATAGATTCATTCAGTGGACAAGTTCCTTGTTTAACAGCTATGATGGAACGATATTTCCAAGTTGATTGTCTCAGTGAAATATGCATATGTATATCATGGAAGTGGGATGCCAAGTAAGCTTAAAACGGCATTCTCTAGCAAAGAGATTAGATTTTTAAATAACTCTTATAAAATAGGTTGACCATTATTTCCCAAGATTGGTTTCCCTTGAGTTTTTGCTAAAACAAATCTGAGTCGTTTTGCCCCTTTAAAAAAATTTGCAATCATTAATGCTATTATTTCTAAGATATCTTACCTTCTTCTTTCAGTTTATAGATGTATTGTGTAAATATATTAGTCTAAGCAGCGAGAATCTTTTCTATGCTTCTATTCCAGCAAAAAGTAGAAGTATCAAATAAAAAGGGCAACTTTTAAAATATTAAGTCTTAAGACTTCTAAAAGGACAGGAAACATGGCCTAAATAATGAACACAGAAGATTTATATAGTACTTTAGTTTCATACTAGTTTATTACTAAAAGCAAACACCTCTTACTTTAAACTACTTTTTCATATATAACTATTGTATGCTAGTCTTACTTTTTGTCAAAATCAATATATAATGAAGAGATGGTTTTGTTTCATGAGATTCAAACTTGATGTTATGCTTTAAAATAAACTTTGTACTTTTAGAAACAAACAAACAAAAAAATGTATTTGATAAAGCAGCAGCAGGATTGGTGGGGATTAACTTTAATTTTGAAAGAAGGTAGCTATAGGTAAGATGCTATCAAATAGCATCACATGCTATAGATAAATCTTTCATGAAAGGAAAAATAAATCAATGCAAGAGTTCATTGTTGCCTTATTTTAAAAAATTTCCAAAGCCACTCCAACTTTCAGCAACCCCCCCCACCCCGATCTGTCAGTTTCCATCAACATCGAGGCAAGACCATGCACCAGGAAAGATATTATGACTTGCTAGAGGCTCAGATGATCATTAGCAATTTTTTAGCAATAAAATATTTTAAATTAAGGTATGTACTTTTCTTCAGAGACAGGATCTCACTCTGTTGCCCAGGAAGGAGTGCAGTGGCATGATCATGGCTCACTGCAGCCTCAGTCTCCCAGGCTCAAGTGATCCCCCTACCTCAGCCTCCTGAGTAGCTGGGACTACAGGTGCATAACACCGTGTCCAGCTAATTTTTAATCTCTCTTTTTTTTTAAAGAAATAAGGTCTCACTGTGTTGCCAAGACTAGTGTCAAACTCGTGGGCTCAAGTGATCCTCCCACCCTCACCTCTCAAAGTGCTGGAATTATAGGTGTGAGCCACTTTGCAGGGTCAGTACATTGTTTTATGACATAAGGTTATTGCATGCTTACTAGACTACAATATAGTGCAAATATAACTTTTATTCACACTGGAAAACTGGAACTTTTGTGTAGCTCACTTTATTGTGATACTAGCTTTACTGTGGTGATCTGGAACCCAATCTGCTATATCTCAGAGGTACACCTGAAGTTTTAAACAGTCGTGCAATAATAACTAAAGCTACCACTAGAGGGCTCAACAAAGCTGCCTTCCATGCCCTCTAGAAGTGGTGCAAAGAGAGCTGTCCAGGTGCTGAAGTGTGTAGAAAGGTTGCTCCCTGGAATGACACTAGGGAATCTAGACTAAGTCTTGGAGATACCATTGCACAGTTCTGCGGCTGGAAATCAGTTGATGTTAGGTGTCAGGCAAACATACAGAACTGCTCTGAATTCTTTAGTTCTTTCCAACATGAATCAAACTTAGAGTGTCAGGGAAGGGTAGGCGAGTGATAGTATTTAGATATGCTTCTCACCCAAGAAAAGAAATGACACTTTGCAGTTGGGAATCCTGGTGACGGTGGCAGCCCAGTCAAGGCAAAAGCTTCAGATAGCAATAGAGGCTAAGAATTTTTACCTAGTTCTCAAATGGTTGCAAAAGGACGTGGCCTAGGAAGAGAAGATAGTATTTTTGTTTGTTTGTTTTTAACCTTTTTTTGTTTTTGTTTTTTAAGAGACAAGGTCTCACTCTGTCACCCAGGCTGGAGTACAGTAGCACAATCATAGTTTACTGAAGCCTCCAACTCCTGGGCTCAAGTGATCCTCCTGCCTCAGCCTCCTGAGTGGCTAAGACTACAGGCATGCATCACTATAGTCAGCTAATTTTTAAAAATATTTTTTATAGAAATGAGGTCTCACTGTGTTACCCAGGCTGGTCTCAAACTACTGGCCTCAGGTGATTCTCCTTCTTCAGCCTCCCAAACTGCTGAGATTACAGGCACGATCCATTGCACCTGCCTGAGATTTTTTTGTTCTAAAGATTTATTGCCTGAATTAACTTAAAAACCCCAAACTTTAAAGTCTGCTGTCACATAGTTTGTAAATAATAGCTATGCCTTTCATACCTTCATCTTACTATTTTATAAGAGATTATACATTCAAATGTAAAAATAAGAAATTTGTAAAAATGAAAACTATCTATATTGCCCAAATTTGCTGAAGGATTGGGCAAATAAGTATGGATGTTTATTACTCCTGGGGGTTTTAATTGTTGTAACCTTTTAGAGGGCAATTTGGCAGAATCTATAAAAACATCAATGAGTATTCTTTTTTTTTAAGACAGAATCTCACTTTGTCACCCAGGCTGGAGTGCAGTGGTGCAATCACAGCTCACTGCAGCCTTGACTTCCCAGGCTCAAGCTATCTTCCCATCTCAGCTTCCCAAGCAGCTGGGACTACAACAGGCATGTGCCACCATGCCTGGCTAATTTTTGTTTTTTGCTTTGTTTTGTTTGTAGATATGGGGTCTTGCCATGTTGCCCAGGCTGGTCTCAAACTCCTGGGCTCAAGTGATCCTCTCACCTCTGCCTCCCAAAGTGTTGAGATTACAAGTGTGAACCATTGCTTCTGGCCTGGGTATTCTTTTTGACCAAGCAAATCCATGTTAGAAATTTAACTTAGAGAAATATAAATAAATATGCAGCATCTTTATATTGCAGTCATGCAGAAATTATACCATTGATGTGGTAAAAAGTTGGAACCAATCTAAATGTTATCTGTAGTAAATAGGTTAAGTTATCATTCAGCCATTACTATGCAGTCATTAAGAACATTGCTTTACATGAATAGGCAAGGAAAGATATCCACAACATTTTGTTGGATTAAAAAAATATAGGGTAGAGAATGGTATGCACAGTATAATCTATTGAGGCAAATACATTTGTAGATCTATTCATGGAAGAAAGGCTATACACTAAAGTGTTAACAGTAGGTTTTATTTAAAGACTGATATACCAGGGGAAATGTGAGGGCCTTTTCACTGTTTGGTACACATTTGTATCATACAATAAGCATATAGTATTTATACTTTTAAAAAGATTAAAAGGAATTGTGTAAACCAAAGTATTGAGGCAGGGAATATTACTATTTCCTGTGTCTCTATCCTTTTAAATTTTTATTCTTTTTAGTTTTATATTTAACACCATGAGACAATTTGATTCTTTTTAAAAAATCTTTCTGTTTTCCAGCAAAGGACTTTATCAGAGTAGTTTTTAAAAGTGAGATGGGGCTGTGCATGGTGGCTCATGCATGTAATCCCAGAACTTTGGGAGGATGAGGTGGGCAGATTGACTGAGATCAGGAGTTCAAGACCAGCCTGACCAACATGGTGAAACCCCATCTCTACTAAAAATACAAAATTAGCCAGGCATGATGCAAAGCACCTGTAATTCCAGCTACTTGGGAGGCTGAGGCAGGAGAATCACTTGAACCCAGGAGGCAGAGGTTGCAGTGAGCTGAGATCATGCCATTGCACTTTAACCTGGGCAACAAGAGTGAAACTCCATCTCAAAAAAATAAAAAAAGTGAGATGGATATTACCCCCCAAATTTTTCATTAAGAATCAAATCACAAAAGTCTCTTGGTAGCTTAATAGATCAGTTTGCATGTCATTTCTGCAAAAGTTAAAATAACAGACTGCTATGGATGTATAAACCACTAACAAAGGTTTTGGGTACTGATCTATTGAATCTAAGGATCTGAGAATACATAGCTTAGGTCTGTATTAACTTATAAGAGTCATCTTTAAATTGACTTATGCAAAATTAAATTAATATTAATTAAACTCTTGATTTTAGAAAGTGAATTAGTCCGTTTTTACACTGCTGATAAAAACATACCTGAGACTGGGTAATTTATAAAGAAAAAGAGGTTTAATGGACTCACAGTTCCATGTAGCTGTGGAGGCCTCAAAAACATGGCAGAAGGTAAAAGTCACGTCTTACATAGAGGCAGACAAGAGAAAATGAAAACCAGGTGAAAGGGGTTTCCCCTTATAAAACCATCAGATCTCATGAGACCTATTTACTGCCACAGGAACAGTATAGGGGAAACCACCCTCATTATTCAATTATCTCCCTACCATGACACATGAGAATTGTAGGAGCTATGACTTTAGATGAGATTTAGGTGGGGACACAGCCAAACTGGATCAGAAGGGGTAGTGAGGTTTTGGGAAGTGGAAAGTCTGTTTAGCATTGGAAAGATTCCTGGACCAGACACAGAAGGAATCCTTTGCAAAGATTCTAAATTAAAGGGTGAGTATTGCAACAGATTATTCATAAACATGATCTAGGGCACCAGATTTATTGATGTTTGCAAACTGTACAACCGCTGGATAATTCCTCCAACTTGTGTCATGGGGTGGGGAGAATGAATCATCACAAAGGCCAAAATCCTGTGACAGGATTGCCTGCATGTGGTAATTATAAGTTTCCTAATAAAATGTTAGTTGTCTTTTGGCACAATCTGCTCAGAATCATATTTGGCAAGTCCATCTTTTAATGTTTCTTCATCCTTACATTAATGCATTCAGTAAATAGAGCATATTGTAGTGGATGATTTGGATGTATCCAATTGCTATTCAAACTGAAACTTAACAACTAACGGGGCTAGAAAGTTATTGAGGTAAAAGCATTCCACCCTGGAATGCCAGTGAAGAGAGAGGGGAACCTCTCTTTTTAAAAAAGCATTCCACCCTGGAGTGCCAGTGAAGAGAGAGGGGAACCTGGGTTCCAATATTTATCTCCTCTAACCAGTACAATGCTGTGTGGCTCATCTCAAAACAAGAAAAAATGAAAGGCAAAAGACACACACTTCATATACTAGAGAAATGAATCTGTAGTGATTTTACACCTTTTGGATGAGATCATTTTCCTTTTCCCAGGTATGGCTTTACAACAAAATAATAATAATTCTCTTTTAATTGAGCACTTCCTATATACCAGACAACTTTATCTAACTTAATCTTCACTGCAATCCTATCAGATATATTCTATTTAAGGGATAGAATTTATTCCCTGTTTACAGATGTAAAAACTGAGGATTAATATATCCAAGGTACACAACTGTTGACTAGCAGGAGTAGTTTACCATTCATTTAAACAATTCAGGTTTATTAAATGGCCAGAGTCTATACTGCTTTCTTCTAGGCACTTTAGAAAAGAAGATTTAACCTGATTGTTTTTCCCTATGAGTTAATTATTTGCTTTGGGAGATAAGACACATACTGATAAAGCAAGGTATGAACAAGGGAGCATTAAACAAAATAGACTTAAATCTGATACAAAGACTAAAAACAGGACAGCGTAAAATACCAAAGAGGCAGATTGGG